AAAGAATGGTGTAGCAGGGTACAACCTAAGCCTCTATTTGCATTTTACCTACTAAATAGCAAACTCACTTTAGCTCTAGATGTGCAAACTAATATTTCAGCATCAAACTTTCTAAACCTGCCAGGGAAAATGCTGCCATCTTTCTGTTTATTTGATTGTTAGGAAACAGGGAGAAACATTTATTGTGATTGTGTTTAAAGAAGGAACAGTTTCTCGTCTGTAGACCTTTTTACATTGTAAGATAGATCGCCTCTTTAAGTGCCTTCAAGGATAATCATGAAGTGAATTCATGAGCATAACAGACGCACAAGTAACCTGGAGAGACATGTATTAACAGAGATGGAACCACCTCCATACACCTCATAATCACATTTTCACCTGCCCATCTGGTACAGGTCTGGGCTTATTAATAAATGTACCAGTTATAGAAGCCTGCCATTTTTGTGTTTCAACACATACTGAATATAATCTGTAAAAAAGAATAGTGGCTTTGGAGAAAAAAAAAAGACAAACATAAATATCAAGATGTTTCTTTTAAAAATTTAAATTATGGAGGCCTATGAGACAGTTTCACAGTCTACCTAGAGACTTTTTAAGGACTATGTAGTCTGAAGTACCCTAAATTACTAGTTTGCCAAAACTTTTTTTGGAAGTAAATTCTCTATTTGACATGCCATAAAATGTACTAAAAATTCAAGTGTCTTCATGCAGATATTTATATTTGCATTATAACATAATTTAATTAAACCTTTAAATAGTTAAAAATGGCTCTGGCCTTTGTGAAAATTCTGATTGTTTACTCAATATTAAACATGCAAGCAAATTATAAATAGATCAAGTGAGTATATAATTTAGATCTAATCATCAATCATTGTAGAAATACAATTAACTGTAACCATTAGGATGGTTGCTTGATTACTTTAAAAAGTGAACTGAGGAATCCTGGAATCAGAGATACATTATACCTATCTAAGTCTATAAGTCTATAAGTTTAAAACACACACACACACACACACACACACACACACACACACACACACATATATATATATATATATATATATATATATATATATATATAATATATTTTACTTGCCAACATTTTTGTGTAGGGCTGAAGCCTTTATTTGCATGAGCGTTGAAGCTTGGGGGTTTATACTCTCTTCTACAAATCTATTTATAACTTAATGATTATAATTTCTATTTTTTCTTTCTTTAGAGTAAAAATTCAATAATCCATACAAACTAAACTAAATGCAGATTCCTTCTAGACCTTTTTTTTTCCAGTTTTTCACAGATGTCTTGCCCATACCCAATTTGGAATAATTCCTTATAGCACCGCCTTTATCAAGTCTTCCAAAGCATTCGACTTTGGTTTCCATACAAACAGCATTTTCCTTTCTTTGAGCATTCTTATTTCATCAATTCATATAATATTGAATTAAATTATGTATTGTATACATACAAATAATGTGAATGATTTGAAGGACAAATGAAAAGATTTCTTATTAATACCCCAACCAACACTTAGGCAGAAAATAATACAGGAAGATCAAAAAGTAGACCATCAGCTGTGAGAATTTACACTCTGGTGTAGGCATCAGTACTTGTGACAAAAGTGAGGGGAAAGTACAGCTAAACTTGGAGGCACTTGAGTGAGACCATCTAAGAGATCTTTGGAATATTTGTTTCTATTGTGTGTGCTTTCTCCCACACTTCAAGATAAGGATAGTGGCAAGGATGAACAGCACCAGCTAAGAACCCAATGATTTTCCCACTTTCATGGTAAGAATCAGTGGATTTCCCCCCAAGATTTAATTCTGTATTCTATTATTTTTATTCAATGGTTTCTCACAAAGCCTGGTCCATACATAAAAATTAGTAGTTTATTAGATAGCTCTTTACCTGCTCTGCTTGTACATTTCTTCATTTGTAAAATGTCAAATCCCAGCTTATTTTATGAATTTCATGGATTACTATATGCAAAGGACATAGAAGAGGGCCTGATCCACAGTGTAAAATTAACGTCTGTGTTATCAAAATTATTGCCTCTCAGCTTTTATTTATTTGATTTTTTAAGGGATCCATTCATTAAAGACAACATCTAATAATAAAAAGGAGATTCCTGAGTTGCCACTTACACATCTGGACCAACTATAGCTACCAAACTATAGCTACCTTTTAATAAGCATTAAGAATACTTTCATTCAATATTCATTAATGGTCCTAAATTTCCTTAGTTCAATTATTGAACTTCAACTACTACAAAAATGTGCAATTTTCATGTTATTCCTTTTTATCCCCCCACTCACTGATTGACATTTTCTAAATATTCCTGGTACAAATATTATATCAAATAGCAAAGTAGTAAGATTATTATATATGGCTGGGCCCTGTTATGTATATGCTTTGTTATGTATGTTTTTATTCTGAAATTGATGCCCTCCATAAACAATTTTGTAAGCGATTCTGACCATTTTGAACAAAGAACATCTACATAAGTAGATCACCCTGCATTGTGTGTGTGCATATGAATGTATGTCTGCTATTAACTTTTATTTAGGACATTGCAAAAAATAAAATATAAGAATTTCAGTATATCCCTTAAAGATATTTTCAAGATTTTTCCACCAGAAGACAGACCTATTATTTATTTATACTTTCTTTTCTCAAACCTTGTTTTAGGAAGAACTGATTTTTCTCCAGTTAAGTTGTACTTTCTTTTTTTTCTTTTCATTGGCCATTGCAAGAATTTAATCCCTTTGTTTAAAAAGCACGCTCTAAATTAAAAATTAAAAAAAAACCCTCACTTTTGATATCTGGCTTATTTAACTAGAGCAAAGAGAAAATACAGCATATTCAGTGATATTATTTAGATTTTTAACAGTTATTTTTCTTCCTTGAAAAAAAAACATGGCCATTCTTTGTCCACTTCATAATGTCCTACATAACAACACACAGATGATCTATTGACTGTGTTGGTGGCTGAGTTATTTCAGGCTGATATACACCTTCAGTGGAATTCATCTACATTGATAATGTGAATTACATCATGTGTTTTTGAGGAAACACATTCATTTTTTATGCTTGATCATAAACTGGACTATGACAATGATTAGAGTTAAATACAAACTCTAAGAAGTCCCAAGAAATAATAGAGAAGAAGTATTTATTTATGTAGTTCAAAGCATTAGCACTATGTCCTACTGACAAACATGACAACTGGAGGCTGTGATGGTCCTTTAACTGGTGTTAAGAAATCTGTCTTCTCTGGTTATTTTAATATTAATTCAAAAATTAATTGGAAAATCTAGGTGTCAATATTACCTAAGAAATTCATATATTCTCAACCAATTCTATTTTGCTTGAGTAGTTCTTTTCATTTGGGGCAAATAATTGGCTTTAGATAGGAGAATGATAGGGTACTTCAAAGATGTTCCACCAGCTTGATGTCTCAAAGTTGGGAGGTTATCTTCCAGGCTAGAAGATGATAACAGTGAGTGGTTCATGATTTGGGAAAGGAAACTATTATTGTAATTCCACCTCTGTTAGTACAAAAAAATATGAAGACACATCTTGAATACATTCCAGTAATTTTAGTAATTGGTATGCACTTTGGTGAAATGTCTGCTAGTAGGAGTGTCCAGAAAAAAGCCATTCCATAGTTTATAGAAAAATTATCAAAACGTATGCCTTCACTTATATATTTGACTATCATTTTGATGAAATAAAGTTGTTTTTTTTTTAACTTCAGCATAGCCAAATGATCTTATGTTGAGAAATATAGTCAAGTTGATAGAAAAGACTTCAGTAAACTTTCTTTTGGTTGAAACTTCTCTACCCATCTATTTGGCTTGTTTTCATGGGTTGTGCATATAATCTGATATTCTCAATCATTGTAAATAACTGCACACACACACCTGAAGTGGTCCAGCGTTAGACAGATACTTCTCTACTCTTTGTGCTGTTACAAACATGTGATTGACTTCTGTGAGCTCTATGCTTTTGCTGTGGTTGATATGAAAAACTAAGATTGCTAGATTTCTGAAGTAGTCATCAATTTTACATGGTGAATTTATGAAGTTTCTCTCCAGGTAAAATACAATGATAGCCTATGGCTTCTATCAAATGCTTGACACTATTAGCCTTTGTAAAATGAAACAAAATCTCTTTCTCTACAAAGACATGTCTTTTTCAATTTAAAAAAAAAAAAGATATTAGGGGAGAAGTTTTCTTATGTGAAGAGTGTTGAAGCATGTTTTCATAATGGGATAAGATCTATACAGAAAGGTTAGTTTAATTCTTTTTGGAGGCAGAGACAGCAATGGATGGCCTTTCAAGGGGACTTTGGTTGTGCGTTTCCTCACAAATACATCCAGATGATAGCATACAACAGAAGGACACTTCAAATATGGGTGATTCCTGAATGACGCCAAGAAAAGAGACAGCTATTTTGGAGAATCCAAATCTCTTTTCAAATTTCACTTATGCAGGTGGGTTATATTCCCCTACTATGTACTTAGCAACATTTTTTTTTTAACTCTAAAACACATAGGCCTTTTTGCCTGTGTTAAATTTGTTTCCTTAGCTGGTAAAGCTTTTCCTTTCCATATGGTCAGGATAGCTAATTTAGTTTGTCTCTGAGGTGGCCAACATTATAGTGTGGTATCATAGAATGTAAAAATAAAAGAAGGTATGAAAACCTTATTCTAAAAATGAAATAAAAACAGATGGGACATACGTTTCTAACGTATTTAATTTGCATCGTCTTTTTCTCCTTTTAAAGTTCTTGTGGACCAATCTTGCAAAAAGGCAAAACAAACCCTAAACACTCTAGTTCCATGCCAGCAAGCTGCCAGGCTGATCTTTTTATCTCCATCAACTCCATGAAAAATCAACGAAAAGGAAAAAAAAAATCAACAGGCATGTGTTTAAATGTCCTGAAATTTTTAAAATAAAAAAAAATTAAATAAAATTCTTGCAATGTTTTTCACTTACAGTCAAATGATTTCCAAGTGGAGGAATAGTCATCTGCAAGATTGAATTACCCACAGGAAACCTAATGATGGTTTTTCTCAACCTGACAAGGATGGTACAGACTTTAAAGGGTACCCCAGAGGAGCATTCAGGTAGCTATAAATTTTAGTTTTTTCTCTAATACCTGTCCCTAACTTAGACCTGTTTTAAAGAATTTATCACTTATTCCAAGTCATCTTATAAGTTTGCCCCAGAATCTTGAGTGTGTCATACTTTCCCAGCATACCTTGTTTAGTAACTCACTACATAAATACTCTGTGGTCTAGCACCAGTGGCCAAGTAAGAGTAGCTAGGCCTGTGTGATGTCAAAGCAAATGGATTACAAGGCTTCATAATTTAGGCACACAATTACTGGTTTTGTCTGAACAACTGGCATACGTATTTTTCCCTTACAGATTCTTAAATCAACTTAAAACAAAAATTCAAATCAATTTATGGAAGAATTGCTTTAGAACGATGAGGACCTGTCTCAATATGTACTATGTATCATGAACTATTTTGTATACTTACACATTTGACAGAGTTGCTTTTAACAAAGTACCAAGATAGATGGTTTGAATCTGACATAGGGTTATAGTAGCATACAAATGTAAGAGATTTGCAAATATAATTTGGATTTTAAAATATTTTGATTGTATTAGTAACTTCAAAAATACTTTAGTTATTGATAGGTAGTCTTAATTTTTAATAATGATACATCCAAATAAATGTAATATCATATAGTTCTTAGTTAAATGAGTCAAGATATCTGTTCAATTTTCTTTCCTCAATTTTCTAGAAGCAAGTGAAAATGTTAATAGAGGTGACAATGAAAATTATAAGTTATTTATCATTGAAGGAAAACTTTGATGGCATCATAGGCAGATATTCCAATACTTATGACTTAAAATTGCTCCATTTCAAATATATTCTCTCTTAACAGAATTTTAAAAGATTTTATTGATTACTAGAACAGGGCATTAAACTTGTAGATTGATAAGTTTCCTTAGTAACCTCTGCAACCTTGATATATGCCTAAGTAATAAAATTGGAGAAGAAAAAACCACAGCTGGTGTTAGTAATACTTGATCATTTTGTTTCTCACAGAGCTCAATAGCTTAGTTTGTCTTTCTCAAGTTAGGTTGTTTACCAAACAGATTTTACTTAGTACATTAAAGAACTACTTATAGACTATTGTTTGAATTAGTGGCTTAATCAAATGCTTTTGGAAGAGCATTTTGCATCTGATTCTGCTTTTTCTATGGAAACTCTGAAACCAACAAGGCAAATGAACAGTGTAGAAAAGTCACAGAGGAGAAACAGCCACCAGCACACCTTTAGCCTTGCAGTATCCTCTGAAGTGCCAAAGGCTGTCAGACTTTCTTTTGAAAACACTGGATGAGAAAGATTCTGCTGTTAGTGGGATGTTTCTGTTTTTGTTTTATGTCCCTCTTCCTAAAAAAGGTATGTTGTAGTCCCAACCCCCAGTACCTCAGAATGCTCTCTTACTTGGAAACAGGGTCTTTACAGAGGTAATCGTATTAAAATGAGGTAAATAGGGGAAGCCCAAGCCAATCTGATCTGGTGTCTTTATGAAAAGGGGACATTTGGACACAGAGAAAAATATACCTACAGGGAAGATGATGTTAAGACATATAGGGAGATGTGATAATGAAAGCAGAGGTTTGAGTCATGCAGCTACACAAAAAGGAATGCCCAAAATTGTTAGCAATTCCTCAGAAACTAGAAGAGGCAAAGGAGGACTCTTTCAGGCTTCAGAGGGAGGATAGGCCTGGAAACCTTGATTTGGGACTTCTAGCCTCCTGAATTATGAGGGGAAAAGTTTCTCATGTTTTAAGTCAACCATTTGTGATCTTTTGTTAGAGCAGCCCTAATAAACTAGTGCAAGAACAGAAAGTAGTGCTATGAAGACTAGTACAGGAAGAAAGGAAGGAAGGAAGGAAGGAAGGAAGGAAGGAAGGAAGGAAGGAAGGAAGGAAGGAAGGGAGGGAGGGAAGGAAAGAGTCTCAAGAGAAGTGAACTGCCCAGATGTGAATTGTGAATGTTTTGAAAAATTAGAAAAAAGAAAACAATAAAGGTAGCTAGTGAAAAATAAAATCTAATGTCTGAGTTTGAAAGTCACCTCTTATTTGTACCTCATCACCATCATTTATTGTTAGTATTAATATTGTTAACATTACAGGCATTTTAGATTGTTGCATAGAGGGAAAGAATCAATTGCTAGGAAACACCAGGCTATAGAAATGCAGTTAAGGGCTGCATTGATAGTGATATCAGTTAGTTTCAGGGAAAATCATGAAAGAAAAGAAGAGGATGGTCATAGTCTACAGTGAGAGGTTGTCTATAAATCACTGTGTAAACACCCAGGAACTGCTCACCCAAAGTCAAGAACCAGTCAAGCAGTACAAGCTGTAAAAATGGAAGTATGCAGGAAGTGGAGGATTCCTCCAACATCTGTTGGGGCCATTAAAAATGAAAAGTAAATCCAAACTGGCAATATAAGAGATTTATTTTTCTACATTAACCCTGGCAGGAACTGCCAATTTTTTTTCAATCTTTTGCCACACAAGTACCTTTCAAGGGGCACAAGAATCAGTGCCAACTGCAAAAGCAGCAATAGGTGGAAAAATCAGGATTAAGACAATTTAATATTGATGGCAAGCATCCAATAAGATGAGGGTAAAGAAGGGAATACGAGAAGTCAAAGCTGGTGCAAATGCGTCAACATTTCCCTGGAAAATATAATCGTCTGGGGAGAATATAAATCTGAAGTGCACCTTAAAATCACAGCAGAGCCAAACAACCCTTTGTAGGCATTATCATACTTTGCAAAATAAAAAAAAAATGAATGAAGATATCATTATGTTATAAACTAGACTTGTTTTAAATAAATGCAAACTACCTTCAACAATAATCAGGTGTTTTCACATGATTTCATGCTCTTGAGACACACCATTTCCTGCTCTTGAGACATCATTCCCACAGGAAGCTGCAGCTTCCTTAACACAGAGTAAATGCTTACCTGTTTTTCATGAACATTGTTAAGGGAGGCCAGTTTCTTGAATTGTTCCAAGCTACACTTGTCTTATGAATTAGATAATGTGCTAAATTTTCCAATTTCTCCTCTTCTCTCCTTCCTTGATTTTCAATTCTATTTGCTAACACTGGTGTAAATTTTGCATCCCACATCATGAGCCCACAAATTTGTTAATCTGTAATTGGCATCTTAGAGTTTAAAGATGGAAAGAGATCATTTACTTTAAGGATTTCATTTCATTCATATGCAAGGAAGCAACAGAACAATTTAACCAGGGTGAACATAAATAGTAGTTCTGTATATGGCCATTGGTCATCACGAGCCTTGGATCAAATATTTTTCTATTACTGCTAGATTATGATAATAACATTTTTCAACATATCAAGACAACTTAGTATAATCACCCAAACTGGAAGACTCTTGATGGTGAAAAGTTTGCTAGGACAGTAGGGGTGGAGCAGGATTATGCCTGACAAACTGCATTTATGGTCACCTGTATTGTCAGAATTATACTGACCTCAGAAGAACTTAAGTGAGAATTGAACAAAACAATGCACACAAGAATCCAGTCATCAAATCAGGGATAGTTATTATTATTAGTAGTAATAATTTTCCCATGGTCAGTCCAAATGTTAGGAACAGAGACAGGAAAGGAAACAATAGAGTGCAAATATACTCTCTGCATGGTTACTTTAAACAGAGCAGAGAAAGCAGGAGACTAATAAGAAGCAGAGTACTAACATATCATTATAATATATTAGTACTCTTTATTAATCTACCTAATCTATTTTGTTTACACTACAAGATGCATATTCAATTCTCCAATTAGATTAGAGCTGCTTGAGAGCTATAACCACAGGTCTGATGTATTTATCTTCATTGCTTCCTTCACCATTTTCTTAGTAAAGTGCCTGGTACAACACTAAGCACAAAGTCAGTACTTACAAAAATGGGTGATTTTTGTTATTCTTGCTCTATTCCCCTGCCTATATTGGGTTACAAAAAAAGCATCCAGTTCCTGGTATAATACATATCTGTTTAGTGGATATTGAATATGAACCTTTTTAAAATTTACCTATTTATATGTATTTCCTTCAATTTTTCTTTGAATAAATGCAGACATTCCTTTTTTTCTTAAGCATTTTGCTCTCTAAAGTTGAAACTTGTCTTTGTGTAAGACAAAACCAATAAAGATTCAAATTAGGAAATTTGGTTTGTTTTTCAGGAAACTAAAAGAGAGACTGTATAAACTATGCCAATGAAATTGACTATATACTGGCTATATATATGGTGTATGGAAAAATACCACATTAGTAGTCAGTATGGATCATTTAACTGAATTCCACTGTAGCAATTGATCAGACACAACAGGAAAAATTTATGCCTGAAAGATGATTTCCTCATCGGGTTTGGCACAGACTGAGTTCTCCACCCTCACTACTATTTTCTGTTAGTTCTAAATATGGGAGGCTTTGATACACATAAGACAATCATCTCTCCTTTTAATCAACACATATTTTGAAATTTAAAGTTCTAAAATAAGTCATTGGAGGTGCTCAGGATGGGAAATTTTTAGATTCCCCATTCTGCTAAAAACCCTACTTCATGGTTCTATGATTTTATGTGTACCACCAAATAATGTACCTGTTCCTGTTAATATTTTCATTTCTTCAATTTAATAACTTTATCATTTATCTATAGTACTTCTATATAGTCTACTTTCAATACTTCAGAGATTGATTATTTGGTCTGTGGATATAATTCAAACCTTTAACCTCTCTATTTCCCTCAAGAAATCTGACTTTAGGACATTTCTTCTCTCTGGAGTCTCTGCTAGAGGTGACAGCAGATGGAGAAAGATAAAGCACATAAATCACTGTTTACACTTTTAGAACTGGTAGAGGATGGTGAATAGGAAGATGTTGAGAAGCTAGCTAGAGCTAGCTAAAATGATACTCTAGTGATCTCAGGTTTTCATTGAGTTTTGTTTTGAGAGTACAAATATGCTTTTCCTTAAGGTATTAAAAGTGAGTTTTATAAACTAGTGCTGTTATC